AATACATAAATGGTACAACCTATATGAATTATTTGATAAGGACCATTCATTACAAATTGCTCCATAACCTTTAACGATCGATGTTGGAGCTCTTAATATTGCTGTAGTCTGAAGTGACTTGCAGCATAATTTTGAAGTGAAAAAGGTCTCTCCAGTGTCATTGTTTTGTAGTATAGATTGATACAATTGCCTGATTGGTAATCATCATAATTAACTTTTTAGAACCAGCACTAGTTTGGAGGTAAGAGAAATCGCTGGATTACATTAAAGAGTTGCAGGGAAGAAAGTTAAAATCTTATCATGGGGTGGGTTTGCAATACACTAGTTGCTTGATAGCTATAATACCCCTGACCTAGAACCTAAATAGGTCGAGAGTATTACCGACGGTGTCTCACGTTCTTAATGCAGTGAATGTGAGATACTAAGCCTCGTGTTCTTATTTGCTTAAATATTTATTAATTGCTGCGGAAGCTTATTTAGATTTTATAGTTAGGTCCATTCTCATTAAACATCTAAGTAATTTTTTTTTCTAACTTAAATTCATTTAATAAACATAATCACCACAATTAAAAATTTATTTAGATTTTCTTCAAAACGTTTCTGAAATTATAGTTATGGAAACAACGTTTCTAAAAACATACATATAAAAATATATATTATGTAAGACAAGTTATCATCAAACATAATAATTATTTTAAAACCACTTTAAGTCTAAATCCATCTTTATTTAATCCTTTCCTCTTAAAATACTTTCGAATAATCTTTCTAAATAATCCGTTTAACTTTCATTAATTATTAAGCCAAATCAACATGTATAACATTATTACATAACTTTTCATAAACGTTTAGATTTCTAAAATCATTTTATAACTTAGAAGTTATATGGACTTGGATAAAGTATTTAATTAGACTCTATGTATTGTAACCCTTGTCTTAAGGAAAACTAAATAACTCACTTAATCTTTTAAAAACTAATTTAATTTAGAATTTGACCTATCCATTTAATTAATGTGTACTAATTAAAATCATTTAATATTTTTAGTCATTAACCCTTTATTAGTTTGACTTCCAATTTCTATTTAATTAACCTAATTTCTTGTCTAATTAGCAATTTACTCGTCAAACCAACTAATTAATAAATTAAAAATCTTGACATATTCATTCATTCATTCATTCCTATTCTAAATTAACAAAGTTACCTAGACCATTTAAAATAGAATAGGTCAAAGTTGTACTAATTTTTACACGACACTTTGACAAGCTCTTGTAGCACCTTTCCTTTCGGCTCATTATCAACTTTACTTAGAGTCTTTACATGTCCTTGAATAACAACATCACAAGACAACTAGATGGGCTTACGCTTACTAAGTATAGTTATAACCGAGTGCATGACCAATTTTAACATAAAACTAATTAATTACCATATGAATTCTTTGCCAAATAATCATATATCCAACAATTTACACAATTAACATATAACATAACAAAACACATCAACCATACAAAAGACTAGTCTTAGCCGAAACTACCAAGAACAACCAAGAGCATCACACTTGTCTTAGTCATAATCAAGCATAAAACCAATCAATTTTCATCTAAACAAACGATCGTTCAATTTAAATATACTAACATTAACATAATTATCATTAAATACATGTAAATTATATCAATCCATCAAAATTTCAGATTTGATATACCAATCCATCAAAATTCAAATTTGATCAACATATATAAACAACCAAGAACTTCATGATCTTAGCAACTTTAAGGTTCTTAAATCTTGTTTTAACCTAAACATTTTATCATTCAGTTTAAATAAACTTAAACTAACTTGATTATCATTAAACACATGTCAATCTTGCCCATTTACTGATAATTTCAGATTTGATATTTCTTTCCCTAAAATATTGATTTGTCTCAAAGACAACAACCAATGCTTCATCAATCCAACAATTTAAAGGTTTATAAATCTTGTTTAAGCATAATTCCATCCTTAATTCATTGATTCAACACATGACCCATCATAATCAAATATCAATTGACATTACCCATTCAATGATTAACCTCATTTCTACCAACAATCAATCATCCAAACATGAACAAATTTTAATCAATCATAAATACACAATAAATCAAATTATACCAATTTAACCAATTAACTTCATTAGTCTAAGTTCAAGGTTGATGACCAAAATGATCAACAAAGGTAATCACGTCAATTTTTTCAATCAACCACCCTTAAACATACCTAATACACCCTAAAAAAAACACCTAAGAATACAAAATAATGGAAGTTAATAATTTCTACAAAATTTCACTATTTTGGCTGAAAGTTTTAAATTCAATACCCAAGCTTAATTCTTCAATCCAATCTCAATTCAACCTTCAAATATATTATTCCAACCTTCACAAACATGCTTCCATCAACCATTCATCAAGATATATCAATTATACTCAAACCCATCAATTTGAACAACTAATTCACAACTTCTAAACTTCAAAACATGAATGATCAAACATCAATTTAATCATTTTCTTGTGGTGTATTGAGGACTACACTTACCTCATTTGATGTTTGATCAAATTCCTTCTTGATTACTTGAAGTGTCCTCCTCATTCATCTTCCTTAATGTTTCGGCCCAATCCTCATTTTTATCTCTCTTTATTTGATTCTTCCAAGCTTTTCTAAACTGATTTTAAGGTATGTTGATGGGTAATTTAGTGATTTTTGATGTTGGGTTAGCTTAATTCTTCTTGAAATTGCTTGAATTTAATTTGTTCTTCCTTAAATTTTTGGTTGCTCTTCTTCTTTCTCCTTCTTCTTGGTTCAATATATAGAGAAGATTTTTATTGTGATTTTGCCAAGTCTGACACTTGTTCCATCACAAATCACTTCATTAAAAGGTCTTTCTAGATTTCTCTTTATTTCTCTCCTTGATATTTTTTCTTCCGTTTTCTTCTTTTTAATCGACTTATAATGGGTCTTTTTCTCTTTATTTTCAGCTGAATTCTAGTTAGAATTGAATTTTAGTTGAATTAATTGATCCATCAATTTATCAAAATCTTACATTTTGGTTCTTAAACTATTTAATCGGTTGAATCGAGTCTTTTAATTTCAGTCCCTAAATCTTCAAATTTCCACATACAAATCCATAATCTAGACTTTTTCTAATTTAGAGTGGTGATTTAAATTTTTTAATTATTTTAATCAAGTATCTAATCTTTTAATTGTAGCAATTAAACCTCCTAAAGTCTTGTAATTACACTCTTAAATTATAACAATCACAATAATTAATGCTATAACTTACTAATTCAAACATTAAATAATTTATTCGCCTCTCATAATATTCTTGCATGTATTAACTTATTTTCTATGCAAGCATCAAATATTAATTTATTTCTTAAATAAATATTCATATATTAAATAATTCAATTATTCATGCAACATATTTATATTTAACGATTTTTTTTTTAGTCGAGGATATTACAATAGTAATCTGACTTAGCTATTGAATTATTATCTAATGAATCAACACACAGCTTCATTGTGTAATTACAATTTTTTACATGCTAATATATGATGAACTACAACAACAATAATGTCTAATATTCTTGTGGATCAATTTATTTCTATTAGAACTACATGATTGTAAATATTTAATGACTTCTAATCAAGTGTTATGTATGATTTTGTGGTTATGCATGTTTGGTTAATTTACTTCTAGACTATTTCCATGTGAAAAAATTTTCGCAGAACGTAGGTTTTGTTAATTTGAAAGACATTATAAAATAAATGTAAGAAAGAAAGATTACAATAATCTTTTAGATAAATCACATAAAAGATGTGAAAAGATAGATTACGCTTAATTAATGCATTTAAATTTGGTTATTATTTTTTTATATAAAAAATCCAATCGATTGATTTAAATTTATCTAATATTATGTTACTCCTAAGTTGAAGGGAATTAAGTCCGTAATTATACCATTATTATTTCACATTTTACTTTCAAACTTAAATGCTTCACATTGTACCATGTTAATTTAGATTTTAAGTTAGGTTCTTGATGTGACCTCAAGGTTTTTGATAACAAGAAATGGAATTAAACATTTTATTATTATTTAGTGAGAAAATTCTCTGCAATTTAAAAATGAAAGTTATTTTTTCATTATCAAAATAATTGGACTCTATATTTCTATTTGTTAATTTCCAAAATGTAATGAATTAATTTTGGCGAATATAAAGAAAAAAATAAAGACGTTTTGGTTTTAACATTTCTTCGGTACAAATCAAATCCTTTCTTTTTCAATTGCATTTATTTATTAATATTGTTATTCATTCTCAAAATGAATGATATATTTTTTTTACTCACACATTTAAAATTTTTAACAGAATTAGGATTTGAACTCATGATCTTTTGCATATGAGCAAAAGGTCATTATCAATGAGCTAAAAACTCATTAGTATAAATGATACCGTTGTTAAAGAACAAATTGATAATATGAGGGGAAAAAAAACAAAGAGATTTTGATTATTAGTGGATACTAATATAATTAACTGGCATTGGATTGAGGAGGGGTCGCTTCATTGCTTCTTCTTCTTCTTGTTTTTGCTTTCACTTCAATTTTGAAAATGGGGCATTAGAGTCATCGCATGGATAGGGAGAAGTGAGGTTTTTGACATCAGCCTTAAACACTGCGCCTTCTTCTCCTTTTCCTATCATGACTTGGGATTGAGGGAACATAACTTTAATCCTACTTACGCTTAACTTAGAAAATTTATATTCTAAGTTTTGGAAAACTGTATGATTAAACTTAATTAGGATTAGACGAGAGGTATTTTTTTTTGGAAATAATTAACCAAAAAATCCTAGTAGCTAGCAATTACAAGTAAACACTGAATATTCTACCAATGGCACTGTTAGTTAGTTTTTTCCTGTTCTTCATCATGAATAATTCAAGAAATGACTTGGCCTATCTTTTGTTATTGAAGCATTGGGCAAATGATCAAAAGGCGCAATCTACATCTAAAGAACATCGACATGCTCAGTCAAGCATCTCTTGAGCTGCAGGTAATTAGTTTTTATATTGTAGCTTATCAAGTTAAATGTATCTATTTTTACTGTTTGAAGAGGACTATAATTTGTTTTTCCTGGGACATCTCTAAAATCTGTTAATTTGAATTTAGATCACAAGTCTCTCTGCAGCTGTAGAGATTTTGAACAATTAGATATGATCAGTGTGACTCGTGCTCAAGTTCTCTATCCAAACCATGTCGAAAATCTAGCCTCAAATGATAACTCAGGACTATCTGAAATATGATATGACATGGATTTTATAGTTTGAACTCCTAAAACGGATGATGGCTCGCAACTTTACACCAGATAATTTGTTTCGGAACCTTTGAATTAAGTTGAAGAAGATAATGATCTTGTTTCAAGAATCTAACTATAGTAATTCTATAAGATGGCATGGTGATGCATTAATAAAGGCAATATTCTTTTGTCATTTTAGTTTGATGGTGCTGTGTACGCCATGCTGAACAAGGAAATAGCTGAGAAAAACCCGCGAACTATGGTAAATTTGCAGGACTAATAACTTTTTGTCATAATAGTTTAACATTCCAATTCCAATGCTGAGACATATGACGACAGGCACATGAGGGGAGAAGATCTGCAAGGATTGAACGTGGAAGAATTACAGAAATTGGAAAAATTAATGGAAGGAAGCCTATGTCGCGTCTTGGAAGAAAAGGTTTATGTAGTTTTGTCTTCTTAATTCTGGATATAGGTTGGTCCTGCGGATATATGCTGAAAACTTTGTACAATACCTAAAACATATATTTCAACTTCTATTTGTTTCAGGGGGATAAAATTATAAATGAGATCGAAGCTCTCAAGACAAAGGTCACATTCCTAACTATGAACATGTTCAGGCTCTTCATGCAACAATTTGTAAAAATTATAAACTAAGCGACAAAACTTCATCCTGAATCAATAAAATTGAACACAGCCATATGATGTGCATAAACTGATATTACCGCACATGTTTGGATAACCAAATTATTACCATGACCACTTTCTATTCAATTTCTTATTATTTTTTGGTAATTTGTAGGAGGAATTAATAGAAGAGAACCAGCAAATGAAGCAGCAAGTGAGATTATACCTCTTATTAATTTTCAGTTCCTTCTTGTTACTCACCCTCGCTTTTGAGTTCATTTTATATTTGGCAGGTGATGAATTTATCAGCAGGAAAAGGACATTTGCTTGAACAAGGGCAGTCATCAGATTCCATGGTGACCAATATCAGCAGCATGAGCTCAGTTGATCTTCGTCAGGACTCCGACAGCTCTTGTGCTTTTCTTACATTAAGGTTGGCTTGTTACTCTCATTTTCATGCAAATAGTTTTGATAAATTTCATTTCAGTTTGCTTGCGGCTATGCACTTATTCGAACACATTATAATTTCCTCAGTTCAAACAACTTCAAACTGATAATGAAGGCATGGTAGTTTATTCACTCCATATTTTCTAGGTTATTACGGTTAATAATGAGTGCATGGTAGTTTATTCGCTTAATATTTTCTAGGTTATTATGGTTAATGTTTATTGTTCTGATTCCCGTTAATTTTTTTTTTTTTTTTTTTGATAGTGCAACTCCAAAATTTCTTGCAGGTTACCTTTTCCTGATTGAATCAGCAATATGGAGGTTTATTCAGCATATTTGATGGCTTAGCAGGTAATTAATTTGAAATAAAATTTCATCTTCGCTTGCAGAATATAAGATTCCTGCGAGCCAATTTCATATATTATATATATTAATATGACTTGTAGAAATTGCCTCATCATAGATTAGATAGTAATATAAAATTATTTTTGAAACTCGAATGAATAGATTAAGCTTTATGATTGCAATTGTTTTTTTTAAAAAAAATATAATATGAGAACTTTGATAATAAAATGGTTATAAGTTTGAATTTTTCTATTCTCATTTTCTTGTTTAATTAATCACAAGATAATATTTCAAACCCGAATAATTTTTACTTGAAAATGTTTGCTAAAGTGTAATATAAAATTATTCTTGAAGTTTCGTCTAACGAAGTTAAATTTTTGAATTAAAATATATTTTTTTGATGCCACATATATATATAATAACTTTTACTCGAGAATATGTGTTAAAGTGTAATATAAAATTATTTTTGAAGTTTCATCTAGCAGGTTAAATTTTTGAATTAAAATATTTTTTGATGCCATATATATACACATTCGCCAGCATTATTATGGATACGAAGAGAGTCAGGAAAAGGATCGGAAGAGGGCAAATTTGGCATGCAAATTGCTGAATTTCATTGCGTTATAAAAAATTAGGGTGGATTTGAATTTTCTGTTTTGTGGAATTGTGGTACTGCTTGTCGGTTCTATTTTTTAAAGGAAAAAGAGAATAAAGTAGGCAATTGATTTGTTTCCTAGTAAGAGAGAATTAATTCTAATATGTAGGGTTCTGTTTTTTAACTTTGTGAGTTCAAATCTTAAAACCAATATTAAAAAAAAAATTATGAAAACACTAAATCTATCTTAAAGGTTCTATAATCCGAAATATTCATCTTCCAAGTGAAAACTGAATAGGTTCTTCTTCTTTGAGTTTGACGAAAACATATTTATTAAATTGATTCATTTGGTATTTGGTGCCCCTTTTGTTTTCTTTTTGTATTTTCTTACATTGGGATGGCTACCAGATGACAAAAATCCGATGAAATGACATTACCCGATAGCCACATAAGAAAGCCAATTGTCAAAAAATCAAATGAGCCAACTCGGTAGACTTTAATAAATAGCGACCTAGACGGAGAGCCCCAATAGTAAGATGATTTAAAAGGGTCAGTACCATTCCATTTTTGCTTTATTTTAAAGAAGCGTCTACAATTATTCTCCTACCAAAAAGAAAAAGAAAAAAGACCCTCGTCTTCTACTCATCTTTCTAGCTAAGAAAAAAAAAAAAAAACAACTTACAGACTATCAACCATTATCTATCAAAAAAACAAATTAGCCTCCACAATTGTTCTCTTACCCAAAACAATCTAACTGAAAAACCATAACCTGTATCCACAAAAACGAACCAAAATGTAAAAAGTTCATTCTTCATCATTTATCTAAAAAATTTACAGGACATAAAACCCAAAAGAACAAAAAAAAAAAAGATTCGGCCAAACAGTCCCTTAAAATAGTTTTCGACTTGAATCATGTATGGGTCAACTTCGTAGACCAATTGGCATTCATCCCTCGAATCAACCATCCTTCAACTAAAGTTACTTTGATCCACCACTGCTAGATCCATAATTTTCAACTTGTTAGGTAAGAAGACAACATTAGAGGAGGAAAAAATTGAGGAGAGAAGTCGCGAAACTCGACCAAGATAACAAACCCAAATGGTTCTTCGTTTCTTGACTAGATTAGTCGCTCTCACCATAAATACAAAAAAACACTCTTCAACCTCCTAGAAGTAGCTCCCTCCTTAAAATCATGACTCAACATCGTTAAAAATTGGTCGAATCAAACAAAACAACTATCTTGACTCGTTTTTAAAGACCCGACTAAATCTTTCTTTTTCGATCAAATTGAACCTCTAAACCACTAGAGAAACACCCTTTATGGCCTTTTGAATAGATTGATATCCTTCTTAGCCCTCTCCGTGGTCAAAATCACGATCTAAGAAGAAGAGGAAAACGACGAGTGTCGGCAATGCCAATCTCCCTTCTTCGAAATGCGTGACCTACACTCGCCCATTCCAAACGAACCAGACAAGCCTTGACATTCCTTCCCTATCTAGTCGAGTGCCAAAGGCTCATTGAATGATGGTCGTGGATGGTGGTGGCGACGTTGGGGTTCCAAAGAACAATTTTGTAATTTTGAAATGCCATGGCATTTTGATAATTTTGCCCTTAAATGGCATTTTGGTAAATTTTAGTAGCATTTCAAAGTGCATTTTGGTCACTATCTTTTAACCTTTTAGTTTGATTTCTTGTCTTTTTTAAAAATTATTTTATGATATTATTTTACTATAATTTTAATTTCATTTGTGTTAGAAATTTTATAAATATTCAAGTCATGAGATTTATTTTCATGTATGGAGTTAATTCAATTATGATATCGGACCAATGAGTCTCCGACTTATTAGGTACAAATGATAGTTCTAGTATATTTTATCCAACAATAAAAATATTAAAAAATAATAAGGAATCAATTTGGATCGATTTATTTTAAAATTTCGCATAAAAAAATTTAGTTAATTAGGTCGTTTCTCGACATGCCAATCATGTCAAGACTTTAATTCGAGTTTGATGCTAAATTGAGAAGACTCAAATTTTGAGGCCCATCATTAATTTAATATGATGCCGCGAAAAAAAAATATAGCTCAAAAGAAAACATGAAAAGAAAAAAAATATTTTAAGCAATTTTAACAAGTCTTATATCCAATAGAGATCGATGTTGATTCAAAATGAATCATATTTTAGTAATTAAATCATTTTTTGATATATTGATTATGTCGAGACTTAGGTTAAATCCGATCGTTGAATTAATGAGACTCCTAACAGTGAGTCCGACGATTGATTCAATATGATGTCATAAACAAAAATACCAAAATTAATGTAAGAAATAAACTTGGAATTTTGACTTGGGAAATAATTTAACAAAACTAAAAAATTTTAGGAGATAAAATTTTAGCATTAAACCGAGATATGATACCTTTTTTTATTTCGAAAATGGTGCTTTTGGGTTATTGATATTTTTTTAAGGGTATAATCAACTCCTTATCTTAGAATCTCTAAACTAATATCAATTTTAGGTTTTTAGTTCCTTTAATACTAAGTATGACTTTACAAGCTTATTTTAACTCATATCCTCAAACAAACAAATTTCAAATAATTATTTTGGAAGCCCTATGAAAGTTGAGTTTGTGGGATAGTTACAACACTTTGAATTTGTGCAAAATTCTTGTTTATTTATTTATGAGATAGTTGTAATACTTTGTAATCTATCTAGTTAGGGTTCCACGAAGGCAATGTTGATTTGTGAGTGAGCTCGGATCTCATCGAATTCAACTTTTCTCTCATTGATTCTAGCATTTATAAATTTCTTCTCAAGGATTACATCATTCCTAGCATGAACACCTATCTCATAAATTTATACTTTATTAATTCGAGCTCTAGCTTGTCTCTATATAAATGTTCGACATATGCATCATAGCTCTAAATCTTAACGAAATATATATTTGCTTTTTTTTTTTCTTTTCATATCTCATATGAAGTCCGATCGATAGATTTCACTGAAATCTTATTTAAAATAAAAATTGCGAGTAAGGAGTGTATATCCAGTAAAATGAAATAGGGATAGCGAGTAAGACTCATCATGGATCGGACCATGTCTAACAACATCCTATTTCTCATTCGGGCACACCATTCGGTTGTGGTGTTTCGAGTGGAGTCCATTGTGAGAGAATCTCATTCTCTTTTAGGTAATTTTAAAATTCACCACTCAAGTATTTATCACCTCGATCGGATCGAAGTACCTTAATATTCTTATCTATTTGTTTCTCGACTTTAAATCTAAATTCTTTGAACATTTCAAAAGCTTTAGCTTTGTGTCTCATCAAATACACATAACCAAAATATGATCTATTATTAGTAAAGGTTATAAAATAATCATATTCCTCTTACTTGAGTGGATATGAGCCCACATACATCTATATGTACAAGGTCTAATAAATTAGTAGTCCTTTTTCTTTTTCAATAAAAAGGGATTTTGTTATTTTTTTCAAATAAATAAGATTCACGGACATCATAAGATTCATAATCAAATTATTTTAGATATCTATTTTTATGAAATTTAGATATATGATTCTTGTTTATATGGCCAAGTCGATAATACCACATATATGTTTTGATTAGATAATTTGATTTGAGTCTTTTGGTATTTATATTATATATATGTATTTATATTTAAAACATACAAATTATTATTAACTATGTTATTTTCATATAAACTTCGTCTTTATATTAAAAAAAAACTATTATTTTTAAATAAAAATGAAAAACTATCTTTGTTCAAATAAGAAATGAAAATAATATTTCTAGAAATATTAGAAGTGTAATAACATTTTTTAAGTTTAAGCGGAAGCTTAGATGGCAATGCCAACTTATTGTGCTTACGGCTAGTGGTATAACTCTTGATCCATTATCAACTTGCGAGTCAACCTCCCTTGAAACAATATTCCTTGATTTTGAATCCCCGCATATTTGTACAAATATAAGCATCATATCTACTATCAAACACCCATGAGGTAGGATTAGAAGTAAAAAAATTAACTTTAATAACATAAATATTTAAGGAGTTGGTAAAACTCATCTTTTTCACCTCTGCTAGGTATTACTTATAGTTACACTTCCAATGTCTTTTCTTGTTTTAATGAAAGCAAATTATATCCTTTTGGCCTTTTTCACCCCTCCATTAGGTGCAATAAAAGGCTTTTTCTTTTGGTGATTGGGCTTTTTCTTACCCTTCACCTTCCCTTTCGCCCATATCAATAAGAAGAATAGAACTCTTGTTCTTCTTATTTATTTTGGGTTGAGCTTCCCTCAAGCATGTACTATAAAAAAAAATCATTTAGCGATGGTATAAATCATTGTTAATAATAATTAACGCATGTTTTGCAACGGTTTAAAACCTTTTGAAAAAAACTTTTCGCTAAATATTTTGTGACGAGTTTATTGTAAATCATCACTAAATTAGCAATGGGTAATCCATCATTAAATAACCACAAAATCACTTAAAGTGTTTACAAGGTCATGGTCGTTGCTAAATAGCGACACTTTTTGAAAATCGTTGCAAAATATGGCCAAATTTTACGAGTGTTTAACGACGGTTTAAATTTTTTTATTTTTTATATATATATATATATATATATATATATATATATATATATATATATATATATATATATATATATATATATAATTCTTTTATTTTACATATTTTTAGTCAATTATTTCATTATGTACTTATCGCTAATAAGAAACATAAAATCTAATCCAATTTAAGAATTACAACAACAAGTATGAAATAGACTTATAAATATTACGAAACCTTTATAATATATAAAATTCAATCAAATTATATATACATATATATGTTCAAATACCAAATTATACTAAAGTTTATTAATATTTCAATATAAAACATAAAAGTGTTAAAAAATATATTGTGATGAAGGGGATACATGTCATGACATATCATCATTTTTATCGGACGCATGATGGTTAGTCGAAGGATCAATGGATAAACTACCTCTTTACATGTAGAGCAACACTGCTACATCTGTCGCATCATCGTATGCTTGCTCTCGAGTATACTATTCCAATCGCTTTTGACTTTCTATAAGTGATGTAATAGCAACCCTCTAGTTTCGGATCTTTTCTTCTTGTCTAGAAGTATTGATCTTCATTTTTGTTTTGATGTGCGTCAATATCGACATGAAACCATGATATGGTCGAACTAAAGGATGTATTAACATTAGAGTAATAGTGAGAGGCTTGTGATCTAAGTCCATACATCTTCCTCTTATTGTCTCCTCCTCTAACGACTCTCTTAAAAATCTCATTCATGTCAATGTTGGGCAATGAAATACCCTCCTTTTCGGCTAGTAACCTCTTCAAATATTTTCTCGATGGTGTTTTACATAATTATACAAATTTTAATGTTAATAGTTATCTTAATAAGTTATATAAAAGTGGAATATGTATTTAATAAGTTTATAGATTACTTATCTTGAGATTTCTTGCTCGCTAATTGATGAATAAGTACTTATCATCAATCTTCTTCTCGTGAGTCTTCAAAAAGCCTCGTGAGCATCGGCTTCACAATCTAACTTTTTACACCGCAATAAAGATACTTAAATGTTTATTGATGTTGTAATAATTTCAAATATAAAACCATGCATATAGTGTGCTCCCTATAGGTGATAGAACCCTCTATACATCTAGATAAGCCGACTTTGATGTCACCTATCTCCTTCTTGTGGTTTTGAGTCGCCAACTTAGGTCGGACATGAGACTCAAGTTTTGGCCATTCTTTATGCCATGTATCCATATCTCTTATGAGATATATGTTGGTTTGTGATTTTTTTTACTTGATAAACGAAGTTGAAATATTGCTTCCATGTCTAACTTTGTCGTGCTTTCTTTATGCTTACATCAATCTTATAATCCCACACAAAGGACTTCTACAAAAACATTAAAAATATTTATAACTATATTTAAATGAATAATAATGTTTTTTAATTGAAATATATTGTAACATAATAAATTAAGCTAAAAACTACATTAAACTCCTTTCACTAAAACTCTTTAGTTTGCTCACTAATTGATTTCCACGTTGAACTGGATAGGTCAACATGCTCGTAAAATGTCTTATAAATCCAACAAGCATAAATATTAGAAAGATATAAGCTCGTCAAACAAGACATGAATTAACGATTAATTAAACACATAAGTATAATAATAAACCAAAAAAATATTTTAAAAAAATTTGCATAATGCGCACTCTTTGCCATCAATGATTGTAATCGAAATTCAAGGATCATACGTAGAACAAGCAAATGCCGAAGGCAAACTAAAAGGGATGTTTGGTATGTGGGAACCCGAAGGTTGTCCGATTGGGGCGAGGGCTCTAATGGTGATGAAGGTTTTGATGGGTAGAAATGTGGGAGGTCTATA